TGGATTTCTGCCCTGACAAGTATATTAATTGTCTCCCTTGTGTGAGCAAGTGTCCTTAAGCCGGTCGCTGCAACTGCAAAAAGAGAGATGAAACAAGAGTCACATAATGTGTATTCGACGGCTAATCTGAAGGGCAATGTCGGACACACTAAGGTCTCTCAAGACCAGATAAAATCACAGGTACCTTTGAGGAGAAAATATGAAACAAATTGATGAACTTGAAGATCATAAAAGTCATAAACTGTAATAAGTGTGAATGATAATTATTCGGGATTGATGCAATACATCGTTGTAGCTGTTGTTAAACGACATCTTATTTGTATGATACAAATAGGTTTTATTACTGTCTTTCTTGTAAATGTCTAAATGTCTATTCTCATATTAAATTTGTTATTGTGATGATATTCATTAAAGTACAAATCATATGGAAAAAAAGAAATAAAAAAGATTTTCATGAATTAAACAGTATTACACATTTTTATTAATGAGTGCTTTTCAGTGTATTAGAATTGATTCATCATCATTGCTGATTTTGATGGATTGATCAATGGAAGGCGTAGGACTTGTTACCTGTTCAGTAATCGCCTCACATAATCTCCTCTCTGGTAAGAGATGGCGCAATTCAACCTTTCAAGAAGAGTGTCAATTTCAGACATCAATGAAGATGATTGATATACGACAGCTTTTGGGAGTAGTTGCACATTGGACTCGATGTATTTCGATAGGTCGCTATCCCTGACCTTGGCGTGATAGGACAGCATCTCTGTGGCAGTGCCATATTTGTTGATTAATGTTAGCTTAGAACTTGCAGCGGATGCGGAAGAGCACATTCTGGAAGACCTTTTTTCTTGCTCTTCTAAACTTTTCTTCTCCTTGTCAAATACGAGCTTAACGTCCTTGATTAATAGTTTCTCCCTTTCGTCTAACTGTTTTCGTATACTTTCAAACATAAGTTTGATTTCAGTTTGAATTCTTTTTTCTTCTAGCGATAAATACTCCAAAACAAGCATAGTTTGTTTATGAAACTGTTGATGAAAACTTTTCAAGGATTTTGATGTCCTCTTAATGTCACTAGCACACTGTGTCAGAGCTTTCTGGGTAGGAAGACACCAATGTCCTCTGTGATCCGAAATGACACAATCCCCACATACGAGTTTCTTACAGGTCATGCAAAATTGTGAAACATCCAACTGATGTAATTCACATAAGTCCGGTTGCGATTTTCTTTTATCAAATCCACATTCGAGAACAGAAGTAAATGGTAAGATTTTGTGTTTATTATTACATTTTGATTGCTGCAACTTAGAACAATCTACACAATAAGAGTTCTGACAGGTAAAACAATAATTCACAGCACTTGATTCAGTACAAGAAAAACACACGTCACTGAGCTTCCTTTCCATCCTAATGACGTCACAAAATGTTTCCATAAAATTGTCTTTTTGGAAGCATCTTTGTCCTTCTTGGATATCTTCTTTGTCACACACAGTACAAACGTACTTTTCTTTAGTGTTTGTTATGCATTTCAAACAGAAAGTATGGAAACAGTTCAAGGTAACAGGATCCACAAAGAGTTTACCACAAACTGGACAGAGAGTGAATTCACTGGCCATATTCAAACCAATTGTTCATTCCTCCAACAATACTTCTTTAGAAATAGAATACCTCTCAGTGACACGTGCACTTTCCGTGTTATCTTATCATAGAAGTCCTGTCAGAAAATGTATGGCGGCAAAGTTGGAGATACATACTACTATCATGGTTCAATGTTCTACTCGATATACATGTACATGTATATATATATTTTTGGATTTGAATAGTACTCTATGTCTCGTTATCTTTTTAAAATTCTACATGGCTCATAACAAGCAGGCTTTAGAGTTGCCAATAGGATAGGTGAAGATACTATTGGAATATGTCCGAACCTGACGTAATAACATAAGACATCGGGAGGGTCAACATGATTTGGTATATTCGTGATTGATTGATTGATTGATTGTATTTTCACTCATATGGAGACGCCACCTCTTGCCGGTGGAGAGCTACAAATTTTGTTCTGTACTCGCCACTTAAGGCCATTAAGCAGTGAGGGATATTTTTCGTGCCAGCATCTATACTGCGACACGGACCTCGGTTAATACGGTCTCATCCGAAGGACCAGTCTCCACGTCCCACAGTGGGATTCGAACCCGCGACGTAAGTATTTGTGGTAGAAAAAAAAACTATTAAAATCTCGAACCTGGATCAAAAAAGTTGATATGATCAAATTAATAACTATACAAGGTCACAAAAAATGATTGTAAATAATACCATTTTTATCCAGACTATTTTTGTACATGGTATTAACAAAAGGTTAAAAGTAAAACGGTATTTGTGATAGAGGTAGTTTTGATCAAAGAGCATTCTGAGGCTCTTGTCCATGATCAGTTGTGAAAGTCACAGGGATTAAAAATGAAAATAATGTCTATAACTTACAAGTTAGACATTTTATCCCAATACTTTCTTGTCAAAAAAAGTACAAATGGATAATTTCTTCTTTTATTATTAAAATTAAAAACATGGAACTTAAAAATTAATTGTATAAATGAAAAAAAAATCTTTTAAAAATTCACAACTGAAAGGTTTGATTGAGCTTTTTCTCCAGTGACTGGTTTCAATTAAAAATATAATTTTAAATTTATGTCGGATATCTTTACTGATAAGTGTACAAATTACCTTGTTTACTACAAAGCTATTTTGAGTAACATAAGAAATGTGCCAATATACCGAAAAAATAATGTACATAAATTAGAGTGTTTACAAAACAAAAGAATAAAACTAATCATTTTGATTGTCACTTTAATTTGGATCATAAACTCATTTCTGAATCAGTGAAAATAGCATATTAAATTTGTTATGAAATTATATTCTTTTACTAGTACATGTATACTAGTATTTTGTATATTTTGTATATGCAAAATGTCGTTATTTAGACTATTACTCTAAAATTTGTTGGATAGATCTCACCAAAAATTTTCAAAGAATGCCAATAATTTCTCTCCCATGTTTTGATTAAATCAATCAACCATTCTTGTTTATGTTAAGTAAATAGCAACTCATAAAACAAAACTCCAACAAAATTCCTGAATTTTTTCTTTGTTGTAAATCAATCATTTATTCATTTGCCTTAAAATGATAAATTTTTTTTTTACAATGACATGAAATTATTTTACATTTACATTCACACAAAGAAATTATAAATCTTAGACCATTAAAAAAGGCTCATGACGAGGGTTTTTAAAAAGTTCGTGGACTACCGCCATAAAATTAAAACCGCTTTAGGTACATCAATGAATTTTATAACATCTAGCCAGCATCATCTATTCTATCTATAGAACAAACCACAAATCATAAATGTTATTTCTTAATAAATTAGTAATGTTTTTGTAAGCAATGGTATGTCCATACGGCGCAACCTCGAACATGACGTTTTTACCACCTTAGTGTAACTGAGAAAAAACTCTTTTGATATGAACATTTGACAACCAAAAATCCAGTTTATTTAGATATGTGTTGGGACACTATTGTTCTATAAAATATGAAATTTTCGATTCATTCTGGAAGTTCTATGAAATTTTATCGTAAATTTTACATGGAGTGTCCAAACAAATAAGGCCGTCAAAAGAGGGGAGGGGTTTTCTTTTCCAATATTTTGTAAAATTTGTAAGAAATGTTTAAAATGGCTACAGAGAAATAATATGCATCCGGAGTACTTGTGTTTTAATGTCAAAATAGATTCAGAGAGGAAAAGGATGCACAGTTAATGTCGATCTGTAGTCAAGGTGTGAAAAATCAACCACGTCAAAAAATGACGTTGATCATGTGTTGTAGATATTGAACTTACAAAAGCAAAATATGCTGGCACAATCAAGAGAGGATCTCTCCCAATTTATAAATCCATTTCGAATATTATATTCATTAAAAGCCGCTAGCTGTTCATGACATTGTAAAGTCTTATAAACAAGGCGGGTTTAAGTCTTCACTCAGCTCCAGGGAATCATATCAAAATAAGTATATGATGTAGCAAAATCGGACATTGAAAAATGATGACGTTGTCGGACGTCATGAAACTAAACGGCGACAGCGCCGGGTGATCATATAATGTCGTTTTTATTTTATAATAATTTGGCAAATAATGAACGTATCAAGCTAAAATTTTCAACATTTATATTTTTTTTGTTGTTTTATGTTCCATATAAATTATGAAAGCACAGACTACATAGTACTAATTTTAAAGCCTCAGTCCACGAACTTTTTGTTACCCCTCGTATGAGCATTTTTTTTTTTACATTGTTGAACAAGTCACAAGTACAATAAGATATCTGTGATAAAAATACAAAAATAACATCTACCTTGTCATCCTTCTCATGTAAATCTATTTGGACTGCAAAAAAACATTTTGCTACACCATTTAATAACAAATTAATCTTTAAAAAAAAAAAATAGAAAACAGTTTGGGTATACATGTACATGCACACCCGGTAAGAAAATGCGATCTCTGTATGAACCACATTTTCTTTTATTTGTTCTTCTTTTATTTGTAGTTGTAAGAAAATCTTTCTTAAGATTGACATTTAGGAATACCAAGACATTTTTAAAAAGCTATTCATTAAATGAAATTTAATGCAAACAATGGTAATTATTTACATTTATATACTTAAAAGAAACATGAAAATCTTTATTCGGTTCTAGAACAAAGTTAAACACAGCATGTCTTTCATTTAAAATGCATAGACAATTACGAAATGCATTATGAATACAATTTTAAAATAAATAAAATTCTTAAAAATGTATGTATACTGTATAATCAACGAAATTTATTCACTTTGATGTAATACATTATTTAATCAAAGTGAAAAACGCACTGTTACGTTAACATTATAACATTCAAACATAAAAAATACAAATATATAAATTTCAATATACATTGATATATAAAAATATTATAGAATAACATCTCATAAAACAGGAAAGAAAAATGCTGGTCTTTTGACACAAGACTCTAAAATATACTGATATGTCTCTTTATCTTTCAAATGTTTTATATTTATTTTAATGAAATTGTATATTTAAGGACAAAGGTACCAAGATTAAAGAAGCTTAGCGTTACGTAACACATTACAGACCAATTTTTTTAAATCCCTTATTCAAGACATTTTCCTTGAAGCTCAATTGACGATCTAGACTACTGAATTTGAATATTTTATTAATCTAAAGAAATAAATTGATTATTGTTCGTTGAAAAGTTAAGATTTATTGAAAGGATGAATCGGCAAAAACCATCAGTATTTGAACGCCTTAAAATATAAATGAATGTCAAATAAAAACTCAAACAGATAATAAATTATACAAAATCATTCCCCCATGGAGATAACAGGTAGACCTCTTAAAATCAGAGTCCACGTCATTCAGTAAATGCTCATCACACTGACAACTGAAAAAAGACTCTCTTCTGACAGAACACAATACATGGCCGAGAACCGACGGAAATGTTCGAATAAGTTATGACAAGCGTAAGGAAGTTCACTCCGACAGAAAAGTTAAGGTCATATATCAACAGCAAATTTCACCACATGATTAAAGTGCAACCTATATAAAGGTCCTGTAAAGTAGTTAATGTCCTTTATCTATGTACGGGGTCGTAGTGCCTGCTGGTACGTCACTGAGGGATACTCTCTAATTGGTCCAGGAAACTCCAACCAAACTATGACCAATAGTCGCCTTCGTTCATAGAGCATATCAGACTTTAAGCATGTATCATCCTTTCCTTCCAACATTGACACATTCACAGTGAGAGGGGATTTCTACCGGGATAAACCTAACGGGCGGGAAATGAGTTAAATCATCGTCCCATACCAACATCCAATAATGTCTGTACATCTGTACACAAGAACCCCAACCACACTTTCCAGGCGAATTCGACCTAAAACAAATATTGAAAGCATTCATTATTGTTGATGTCCATGATCTCTTGTTTACTTTTTTTATTAACTGGAAGTAGGAAATCGCATTAAGATAAAACTTTGTCTAAATATGATACCTACACACATCGACCAACTGGAACAAACTGGTACTGATGATCAAAGTGAACAACGCTAAGTTGATTGCCGTTCTCTTTGGTTTTGTTGAGTATTTCAAAAGCATAATTCCTGTAAAATGAAATAAAAAATAGTCAATACATTGTTATTCATTTAGTAATACTTATAAACTATGAGAATACAAACAATATATTAAGATAACTATATGAATAATAAATTGAGGAGAGTTGATGCACATTTCCACCTGTCAAAGCATAAAAGAAACCAGTATTCTGTTTGTTATCAATCATCAGACACTCCTATCCGTTGAGAAAAAAAATATGTTGTCAGTGTTCATGCATATCTATATTTTTGTTATGTAATTGAATAATGGAATATTGTAAAATTATAAGAAGTTCATTGATTAACCAGCGATCATCTAAGTGATAGCAACGAAATTATTATAACGTAACGTTTCAATTTTTAACTTAACAGTATTTGTAAGACTAAGTTATTCCAGAAATACCAGACCTATTAATGTTATTTGAAAAATGCATCAAATTTAATACTGGACATGTTTTCAATAATTAATGAGAGAGAAGAGTTCTTTCTAAAGCAGAAAGAACTCTTCTTTCTCATTAATTATGGAAAACTGGTCGTTATGAACTTGGTGCAGCCACTTCAGTAAATCACAAGGTCACAACGTCTGAAGTTTTCAGGTGTGTTTATGAAATATTTTATTTTAGATGTTCATTGAACTTCAAAAAAAAAATATTTATCTTTGATATTTTTGCTTGTTAATGAAAGTACATGCAAATTTGTTGAATTTATTATTTTATAGACTAGCAATGTTAATGTTCTCATCATTGATTTGAAAACTAAAGCACCTATTTTGGTTTCATTTAAATCATATCTTACAGAATCAATTAATACAAATTTGCATGTTAAGAATATTAATTATTGGGTAGATAATAAATATCCATAGAAGTTAAATCTTTTTCTAAATTTGTAGAGTCACTCAAACTCTCCTATATTTCTGTCTACTGTTTAAGAAGAGGCTTAGAATTAAGTTAGGGAAGAAAATAAGACTGTAATAAAGTAAATTCAAAGCCAAAGAATTATTTTCTTAACAAAATATTGCAATATGATTTGAAATGTATGTTTAATTATTTTTTTTTGGGGGGGGGGAGGGGGGGGATATAGGCCTTTGAAATGTCAGTAAAGGTATTTTTCTATCGTTTCAAGGCTTCACAAAAGCAGACATCAAATGAATTCTGACCAAGAATTTCTCTTTTGCTATAAGAAATACGCATATATCTTACAAGAAATCTAACGGTCTAAAAAATAAGCACTGTAATTTGAAAAACTTGAACAATGCACCAGTAGACTGAATACATATACATGTAGATACGTATATGAAACCTCGTGAGACCGAGTCATCATTATTTCCAGCAATAAGTGATAGATTGAAATTCCTTGTTTAATTTCATTTTGCTAAAATAAAATTATAATCTAGAGTTTTGCGTTTTAAAAATTACACATATAAATCTTATATGAACAAACAGGTGTTATGACAGCCTTAATAAGCAGGTTTTGGGGAATGAATTTGGTTTAATGACTAATTGTCCCTTCCTTATGGTAAAGTAAAAATCCAAGTTGGGGAATATATGTGAAATTAAAGTACAATGTAAAATCTTTTTGGAACATATCATTATCTTATCAATTCTGTAATCAATGTATGAATTATTCATACTGTGGTTAAGGTCGAACAAATAATATACAAGTTTTTTACGATTACTAATTTGATTTTAAATGCGTGAAAAAGGAAGTTTTCGGAACACCCATTCTTAATGTATTCTTGTAGCATAGTTGTTAGATCTTGGAAATTGTTGACAGTATTAAAGTTCTGAATTTATGGAATAAAATTATTTTCAAAAAATGAACAAAGTATTAGCAGTTAATATTTAACGTTATAAAGCGACGTAAATATGATGTAAATTTCATTGAAATACCGGGTAATATATCCTGTTAAAAAAAAATCACATACTTTCAGCAGTTAATATTAGATTATGAAGTTACTTTAAACTCATAACGGAAAATTAAAGTAAGAATAAAAATTAATAAGAAATTAATTTCATTTTCAATATACCTAATTACATTTAATAAAAAAAAAAAGCCATATGATATAAAACAAATCTGCATCGAATGTAGTCATACAAAATTTAAAAAGATAACAAATTTCAAACTTTGCTTACGATAAGAAATGGAAAGTTCATATGAATATTCCTCCTTACCATACACCCCTCCTTAGATCTATCTGTCATTCATTTTAGTTGGTTTATTGCTAAAACAAGCTTATTCTATCTTTTTTTGCAGACGTTTGTGAATTTGTTGATTTCAGGATTACAATTAGTTGATACTTTTATCTATGTTAAGGACAGACGAGGCATTCCTTAATAATAGATAATTTTTTCTAGGAGTTTCTCATTGAAGTATTGCTACTTAAACATGTTTACTCACAAAAAATTGAGGTACCTTACCAGGCATTTCTGCAAGATACCAGGGGTAGTTTTTCTTATATAATCCTTTGGGGAAGAAAAATAATTTTCCAAATTCAAATGTTTAAGTGTTTGGATTTTTTTAAAACGTTTAGAAACTGGTTTAGAAAACAGAATGTTATTAAAATTTTGAATATTTTTCATACATTACGAAGATATACAAAAAAGATTTTGAGAAACGTCTCGTCTGACCTTAATGGTTTTGTTCAAGAAAAATTGCCATTAGTCCCAACTATTAAAAACTTCATTTTAACCTTAACTTAGCAACCTTAACACTCAACTTTTGTTAAAGTCAAAACTAGATTAAAAAGTTTGATTAAAAAGAACACCATGTAATTGAAGCATCACAAGGACACACTTCATTCAGTACAGCTTTACTGTTTTAGTACAAAAAAATAGTCTTTTGAAGATTTGAACATAAGAGATAGCATGACCTATTTTTACTCACGTTTGACAACATGAATTGGATTCCCCATTAAGATTTGTTACTGTGTTTCCTACATAAGATCCCGTGCCATGTGAATGAGAATGTTCTCCGACTGGTTTCACAACCGGCATAAATCTCAGACTCCTCTGAGTATTAAAAAGTCCGGGGTACATTTCCAGCACAGCCCTGCTGAGGACCCTGGGATTCAGTCTGTTACAGAGGCACATTCTCTGGAAGGGATTCATCCTCCGCCTCACATTGTGAAATGTCTGATGGGTGCCACTGACAGTGAAGTTCACACAACCAAAATAGCCAAGGAACAGTACGGAATAATTTAAATACTTGGAGTTCATTCTAAAGTAGAAAAAAGGCATACAAAAGTTAATTGTCGGTCTAAGACAATGAATGATTAACGTGATGAGAAGTGTTTTAAACATAGGTTTACCTGATCTGATTAATTGTATTCTATTCTAGTGGATTTCAAATAAGTAGAAAGAACCGTCGAATCACGATAAATGGAAACCTTTAGAGAACTTTTTACTCTTACATTGTAGTTCGGCGTGAATAAATGACTGGGTCCACTTATCACATCAATGTCTGATTTGAGACTATTGATCAGTGATCTCCACAGTCTCTATTAATCTACACCTTGATGAGAAAAGAGGGCTGGCCTAATGCTTGACAGACGGATCATGCAAAGCAAAAGATGGTTGTGGTTGTGTCTGTACGACAAATAAATGTCACACAACTATATCAAGCTTATAGGCCCTTAAGGAGCTTAAAATCTACCATGAAAAATTATTTATTTTCATCTTCAATTTTGGACTTAATTTGGAATTTTGTGGTCGTCACGTGGTATTTCAACACGTGCTATAAGGAATTTGTGTAATCATTAAAAAATTACAACCGCTTTCGTAACAAACCTTAAACGCAAAAATATCTTCAAAGGCATAATACCGATTTTGTACTTATGAATGACACGTCTATATTTATTTATATCCCGATCATTTAAATTCATTAAGTTTCAAAAAATGTTTACATACGTGCATATGTTTCATAAAGTACCCACCTGTTCTTAAATATTTAGTCAAGAGAAGTCAGTTATTTATATACAGCAAACTGATTGGGTTAATTAATGTTGTACTTCATTGTGGTGAGAAATAAATGCAAAGGGCAATGTCAAACAATCCATGACAATACATCGCTTTGCAATCTTGAATATTTGTATGTTCGAAAACTGTTAACGTCACGGAAAATAAACCTTCCTACACTGTGTTGAAGCAATGAAAACTACGTGTTAAATCCAACTGTCTGGGGAAAATTCCCCGTTTAGATAACAAAGTTTTCTTTCAATTTTAAGACAAATGATGATCATTTCTCACCTAGAGGAGGCAAATAAGTCAAAAAATTACTGTTCACTTTTTTGGGTAAAAAATGGGGAAAACTGTGTTTATGTCATAATTATTCAGCATCTGAATAATAAAAATAACGATATTTTAAAATTGTAATTAATGACTTTTCCCCGACAAAACTATTGTCTTGTTGCCCTTAAGTAAGTGAAGCCACTCCATAATATGCTCAGTAGTACTAGTGTTGTAGTGCGAAATTTCCCCGATCAAAACCAGTCTGCTGCTTGTATATGATATTTTAAAGGTAAGAGCAAAAAAAAAGCAAAACAAATTAATGATGACGATTATACATATATTGTATAACCTGGGTGTAATGCCCAAATATTTTCTAAAAGATATTCCTATGTTTTGCTTCCAAGGTAACGTCACATCTACTTCCAATTTCTTATGAGACTACTGAAAGTATATATATATATATATATATATATATATATATATATATATATATATATATATATATATATATATATATATATATATATATATATATATATATATATATATATATAAAAATTTTTAAAGTAACTGAAGGATATGATAACTATTAAGTATTCATATTTAAAGTCCATAAAACAATACAGAATAGGAGCAGACAAATTACGGACCTCCGAAACATCAGAGGTGAATCAGGTGCCATGGAGGAGTTTTCACATTGTGGACCGGTCACATCAGCCGTGTGCTCCTTGTCATGATCGGGAAATAACGGGAAAATCCGTCGTCAATTCAGTAATTCAGTGTATAAATAATGGACTAACAATTAGTATGAAAAACGTGGGTCAGCATTTGACTCAATGATAAATTGTATTTGCTGACAAGGTCATTGTATCGACCATAGAACTTACGAAATGATGACTTTAAACGGGACTGCTGATAATCTTGTTTCATCAACTTGCTTGTCAATAATTAACCTTGTTTTAGAAATTGTTCATACGTAGAGCATGCTCTTGCGTATCGAATCAACTGAGATATATATATATACTCCGTATGCAGGTGATGAAGGTACAATACAAAATAGGAGCTTTTTTACGATTTTGATATTTTACATGCCAGGAAAACGTCAGAACCGGCGCCATTACGTTAACTGGGAATTCGCCGCCTCCAACTGGAGGCAGCATTTCCGTGTGATTTTGTCATACTTGCGAAAATCGAATTAAATTTCAGAGCAATGTTATCAATGTACAATAATTTTGGACTAACATATTGTTTTTATGGTTCAGTTATAAAATATACAATCCGTTTAAAACAATTTATCAGAGTGTCGAGATTTGTCTTCATTTCGAGCATTGATTTTAAAATCTTGCAAGTACTGGAACGAAATGTGGAGTGATATTTTCTTTTCATCGATATTGGTTAGTACTAGAGGCATTGTGCTATTGATAATTTCTGATTTCGGCATTTAGTTCGGTACGCAAGTATAAAAAATGAATTCGGAACCGGCGAATTTTCCAGTTTTCGTAATGGCGCGTATCGAATCAACTGGATATATATACATCAAAATCGTAAAAAAGCCAGGAAAACGTAAGATTTTTCGGACTAGGTATATTGCTGCATAAGTAAGGGAAGTTGATGATAGAAAAGTTAAAGTCATCACGTTTATCGTATAGCTTGGTTGTTAGATTACCATTAACGTATTTTTTTTCAAGTAAAATATCCAAGTATGAAACAGATGTGTCAGACTCTGTGGTATCTTTTATCTCAAGCTCATCAGGTTAAATCGTATCGACGTAGTAACGGAAATTACCATTGGTAATTGACAATATGTCGTCGATATATCTAAATGTCGAGTTGAAGGCCACAGCAAGTGTTTTCTTCTTTTCACGCATAAGATTTTGTACAAATTCTGCTTCACATGAATATAAAAATAGGTCTGCTAATAACGGAGCGCAATTGGTACCCATGGGAATTCCAATAGATTGTTGGAATACCTGATCTCCAAAAATCACATAGATATTGTCAATCAGAAACCCAAGCATCTCTTTGATGTCAACATCAGAGTACTTGTGTGTGCATTCAGAATGTCTTTTAACAAAATAATTTTGCAAATGACCAATGACCAGGTAAGTAAATTTACGAGTTCCATTTTTATTGAAAAATCAGCTGTCAATAATATCAAAAAGCCTAGACTTTAATTTATCGTGGGGAATGGTTGTGTATAAAGTTGAAAAGTTGTAAGTTTTTAAGCTATTGATTTTGGTTTAAAGCTTGCGATTTCACATTATCCAAAAGTTCTTTAGAATTTTGGGGTATCCACATTTGATTCATACCACTTCTTGAATATATTGTTGCACAATACACTTGAAGTTTTTACTTCACTACTGTCAATATCTTAGTGAGAAATAACAAAAGAGGCTTGGTTGAACATTTACTGGAACCCGCAATGTATCTTATTTTGTAAGGATTTTTATGAAGTTTCGGAATCCAATATATATAGTGTAGTTCAAATTCATTTTGGCTCTGTGGAATATTAAAAAGATTTAAAACTGACATATGATTTTGAAGAAATTTCTTCCTTAGAAAGGGAAGTGTGGGTATAAGTAGGATTACCACTTGTAGAATTAAATCCAAGTTCTTCTAAAATACAATTTATATAATGAGCCTTACAAACGAAGACAATGTTGTTACCTGCTTTGTCGGCAGGGAGCAGTACGTACTGATCATGTAATCTATCTAATTCTTTTTTCACTTCTGGATTATTGAACACAGAATAGCAGAGTCCGTTCTACAATTCTGTGACCCTTCAGTATATTGAGTGGCAGAGTTTCACCTTGTGCATTGCCATGGCATGTTTGAAAAAATGTCAAAAATTTCAAAGATTGGGTTTTTCCCGGATTTGTTTCCGAGTCACATTAATGTACAAAAATCACTGCGCCTAAGATAACTCTTCTGTGTTCATCAGGACATAAAGATTATATGTTAGCACCGTTTATGCTTGTTAAACATTTGCCAGAAAGTATTAAGAATTTTTTCAGACGAAATTTGTATACTTTGTTGGCCTCTACATTCATGAATCAACCCTTCCCCCAACAAATGACCGAGCGTTAATTAAAACATGCATAAAGATATGCAGAGAACATTCTAGCTTTTAGCGCTGAGTTCAGAAAAGGGTTCTGTGAAAATATGTGCAAACACCTTGTAATGAAGATTGATCCTCGTATAAAGAAGAACAAAACGAATATGACTTGTATGTGCAGGTAGTCTCCAAATTTTTCTTTCAAAGGATTTTTCCTTGTCTTCTTTCCAAGTTAGCATTATGTTTATTTCCAATTGCATTTGAAACCAATGGATTTTCATAAAAAAGATTACCTACGTATGAAAACTAATCTAAAATTAAGTAAGCTATCAATGATGAAATAGATAAAATAAAAATAAAAACTTTTTTTTTAAAAATTGCAAACGTTATATAGTATATAAGTATATATTTCATGGAATACGAACAAGAAATGAAAAAGATAATGGTGACGAAATACGGAAAAGGAAACAAGCTTTCAGGAAATAAAAAAATAAGACACAGTTTTCTTCCTTGATATTTCAAAGTAAATTAAATAGCTGTCAATGAGATCGTAAACAATATAGATTTCAATTTAGAAACATGCTCCTACTTTTATCATTAGATCATCAAAAACTGCTAACATTAAGTCATAAAGTTTAAAATGTAAAATAATTTTCCAACGGTAAACTAAGAAAGTACAACATGAAAAATACAAGAAAATAATTATTTTTGTTACTTGTTTCTTTATCAAAACATCGATAAAGTGGCATGCAACTTAGATTAAATGCAAATTATATATTTTTACACATGTAGGTATAGATTTATCTGAAATAATGCTGAGGTATTAAAAAGCGTGAATATACCATTTCATTTCACTAATTGCATTTCGCAATAATAAATTTAACATAATCGAAAAAAAGATGAGATAACTCTGGCTTACACTCAAACCAAAACTTATGTCCTTCATGTGGGTGAAATTCTGTTTTTTTTTTCTACACCGTACATCGCAATGGAATTGGGGAATCTATTCCTCAGATCAAACAAAAGGTGACACAGCATGCGTCAGCTAATAGCCTATAATACTGCTCATAGCTGAACTCCTCTAAATGGAATATGTCATCTTTGATAAGCTGATATAGTAATGATTTAGATTCTATGTTTTCACATTAATTACTAGTAAACTGCTGGCCACATTTAATCA